CTAATATATATATCGTAAAGTTCGACAGGGTTATCGCCAGGAAAGTGGTTCTGCGTCATTTAACGTTAAGATACAACTTCGTACTTAGAATATCGTATTTATCGTGCCGTTTACAAAATAATCTAATGAGATAAGATTTCGTGTAATGCATGTATATTGCTGGCATTGTGATTCAGGTCATTGATTAGCTTCGATAAAGCTTCGTACGCATACTAAAATGCCTACAAAGATCTAGAAAAATAATAGAAACCGTGAAATTATTTAACGGGGAATGAGCGGAGAGTGCAAGGTAATTCTCGAGCGAAAATGAGTTTGCCACGACTGGTTTTGTGTTCCCGCGTGGTATCGAGTCGTTCGCGACGTCGAATAAAGTCGAAATAAAGATTATTTTAATTGCACGTTTTACTTGCCCGCCTACCCGTATATCTACGCTTCTTTTTATTGTTTCTCGATGCTGAATGTATCCTTGAAGTGCATCTGTTGTCATAAAAGCTGATAAGGTACGCGATGCCCTATTGTATACAACAGACTAATGAATATGTTGCAGCCGGGAATTTAGATGGCAATGTCTTCGAGGAAGTAATTCGATGGATTGGTACTCTTAATTAGACGTTTTACATTTTAATTACCATGGGAGATGTCTCGCAATTGAGAACTGGACGCGTCTCGATCTCCATTCTGATTTTATGTACAGTTACTCGAAATATTTGCAATCGCAGAACGCAAGAGTTAAATTAACCCTTCGATAAACTCTTCAAAATTGTCGAGTACAATTTTGGCCATCGAAATTGCATAATTTTAAAAGCAGTGTAAACTCGACTCGCAAAGTAAAAGTAATCGTATCGATCCAAAGAAAGTAACTTTTTCTAAAACGTAACGCAGCCTTGCAAATGTTGAAAATAACAGAATGAAATGCCAATTGCATCGATGCAGAGAAAGTCCTTTCCAACGCGTCCATGTACGAACGAAATAATAAATTGTACCATTACAACTAAGTGAAACTTATCGTCTCGTAGCGCGTGGAATCCATTATGGCCAATGGTTTCGCGATGTAAATATGTATTGTGTAAATTGCATTTCTTGCTACGAGATCGTGAAAATAAAAAATAGGAACCAGTTGCGTTTACGTAAGCCTCGAATTTCTATCTTGATAAGTAAATAATTCTATAACGGTTATAAAATTGTAACTCGGTAGTTCGATGGAATTTGAACTCGAACGGGACAAACAAATTCAAATTTAAATAAAAAAATCTGAAATATACCTGTTCTATTTTTAAAAAAAATGTGTGTAATAAACTACCCCAAACTGCCATTTCTGATTTTAAATAAAACTGAATTTTAATCGAGATATCTTGGTGATATTTTATTTACAGATTGAAATGGACTGAAAACTAAAATTATCCGCACAACGTATTGTATATTAATTTATTTTGTTAAAATTTTATAAGCGATTTGACTATGTAAAATCCACCTTTGTAGTTCCTTGCATATTACACCTTTTGTACTAAAGGGTTTATTCCCGTTAATAAATGAGTAATAATAATAATAATACTCGTGTGTACCTGGGTATATCGTATAAAAAGTACCAGGTTTTATGATCGGCGATAATATCGGTAAATAAATGTAGGCTAATAGAGGATGTAGGAGTTGTAGCGGCGGCTAGTGCATAGAGGCAAGAATGCAACGATTGTTGCACAATTTTTCATTATTTGTGTACGTCAGCGGTTGTTGCGCAATGACCCCTTCGGGGAAAGTTCGGATTTGCCCTATTCCAGGTGAAAGAAATTCTCGAACGGCCGTTACAACCGCAATACGCAAGGCCGACGGATCGGCTTCCGATTTCGAAACCGCGGTACGAATAGCTCGCCGGTATCTCGAATATTGGCAGTTCCGAGCGTTTAGCTATTCGCGTCAATGAATTCTGCAAATTTTCGCGCCGTGACAGTCGACGGCAGACATTGTTGCGCAATCCGCACTGTCCCGTTGCGTCGCGACCTCTAAAGCAGCCCGAGTTGATTTATCGTCTAATAAAATTCTATTAAAATGAAACTTTGTATCGATCAGTTTTATTGGCCGAACGCCGAAGGTTCGCGCGTGCAGCGATACGTCGTAAATTCTAGCGGCGTTCGCGCGCGTTTAGAATCGCGAAACGGAAAATGGGAAGATCGAGGAAAATTAACACGACGGAGGAATAGCGAAAACACGATCGAATATTGTGAAATTAATTGCAAACGATTTTTTAGTTTTTTTAGGCTGCATGAAATTGCGTATAGGATAAGTGCACCTGATTCCAGCGGTGGCCTACTTGCGTCGCGTTTGCATATCTTTTGCTAACGTTTTCCCGCGACTTGGCTCGCGTGAATATCGGTTTAAACCTCGGCCGATACGGCGACGTGTCAATCACGTAACCGATAGGGGTAAACAGCATAATTGCCGGCCATTTGAGTGTGATTAACCTCGTTTATGAAAAAAAAGGAAGTACAGTAGTATTCCGATTATCCGGAATGTCCGAATAACCCGGCATATTTACAACGATTATTCTTGGGTAAATGATAGGGATTATATTTTACAGAAACAAACAAGTTACAGCCGCATAAATCCAGCAGTGATATTGATACTAAACAGTTGAATAAAGCATAGGAATGTTATATATTTATTAACAAATTGTATTACTACATTACATTGACAGGGGTTCGGTGCAGAAAATTTCGGCGAAATTGAAAAGTTTCAAATCACTCTGGGAAAATTATTTTTAGTTGCGGGAGTCAATTATAATCATTTTTGGTCAATAGACATACCCCTGAATTCCTACGCGCCTTCGAGAAAAAAAATCGAGTAGGTGTGAAATTTTGCGGCCAAATTGAAAAGTTTCAAATCACTCTGGAAAAATTATTTTTGGTTGCGGGGGTCAATTACAATAATTTTTGGTCAATAGACATACCCATGAATTCCTACGCACCTTCGAGAAAAAAATTCGATTAGGTGCCTAAATTTTGCGGCGAAATTGAAAAGTTTCAAATCACTCTGGAAAAATTATTTTTAGTTGCGGGGGTCAATTACAATCATTTTTGGTCATTAGACATACCCCCGAAATCTTGCCCACTTTCTAGAAAAAAATTCGAGAAGGTGTGAAATTTTTCGACGGAAAGAAAAAATTTTAAATCGTTCTGGAAAAATTATTTTTAGTTACGGGGGTTAATTAGAATCATTTTTGGTCATTAGACATACCCCCGAAATCTTGCGCATTTAAAAAAAAAAATTCGAGAAGGTGTGAAATTTTTCGACAAAATTAAAAAATTTCAAATCGTTTTGGAAAAATTATTTTCGGTTGCAGGGGTCAATTACAATCATTTTTGGTCAATAAACATACCCCCGAATTCTTGCGCATTTTCAAGAAAGAAATTCGAGAAGGTGTGAATAAGAAAGATCCAAATTTCAACAGCCATAACTCCTAGAATAGTCAATGGATTTCATTGAAATTTAGTAGGAAAGTAGAGCTCATGGACACCTACAAAAAAGTATTAGATAACATTTTCGTAGATCGTCAAACAAATTAATTAAAAATGAAAAACGAATTTTTAAGAAAAATCGACAGGGGGTAGGTGCTGAAATTTATCGACAAAATTAAAAAATTCCAAATCATTCTGAAAAAATTATTTTCGATTGCGGGGGTCAATAATAATCACTAAAAATTGAATAGAAATGACAGAAAATTAATTATAAAAACTCGGTTTAAATATAATCCATTTACAACTGTTTTTACAAGTCAGAATTCATAGTTTTGATTCTAAAATTCTTAACAAAAGTTTCAGAATGATTTCTGATACATTCGTTGGAACAATGAAGCGATCTATACGATTTTGCAATTGTGAATTTCAATTCTTACCTGCCTGGATCTCTATATATTTATTCCGTGACTGATTTACGTTTAAAATTTCTAGGCGAAGCGGTTCTTCGAATCCTCGAAGCTAATCGCCTCGAGTATTCGACCACATACACGGGTTCTGATTTATCAATCCGCCGTATCTTTATTTTGAACACCAAATTAAGTATTATTGATAACGCGGATGATTACTTTGGTGTGTCCGAGAGAACGATTAATCTAAACAGCAACGTACTGTGGGCCCGATAATGTTTATCGTTTATCAAGGAACATAAACGATGGTATGGGAACGCCGTACAGTTATTTTTAATCCGCTTGCAACCTTCGATACGACGAACCTGCTATAAAAAAAAAATATTTACGTGGTAACGTAACTACTGTAACATTATACATACATATTCTTTCCATACGCCGTAAAAATTATTACCGTAATTCGGGATACGCCGCGAACTTAAGTGTTTCCCCAACACGATCAACATAGGTTTATGATGCACGCTGGCACTAAAGTTTTTAAATCTACGGCGTCGATATTTGCTTGCAATTTAGAGAACAGTTCAAGTAAAATCCCATCGATAATGGAAGAAACTAAAGACGTTGAAACATTCGATACGCCCATATTAACTATCTATTCTGATGAGGCGTTACGTAAGGACGTTTCTACAACTGGAAACTCACCCCCCATATGTTTGTCTTCTGTCAGTCGACGATACGATCGAAACAAACGATGATGGATGGCGAGTAACGCGTAAAAACCGTCTGCAAAATAAGTTTCGACTCGTTCGTTTAACGTTCGAGCCAGGAAAGAGCCATTCGAGAGTTGTTCGCGCGCGATCGAGTGTTTCCACGCACGACGGCCATTCAGCCTCGCGTTAAACGAAACCTCAATGGAGGAATTATCTGGCCGCGGTGTGGCGCGTTAACAGCTCGCGCGAGCATAACGGGCAGGGCGATAAACTTTATCGTTTATCAAGTAGCACAATGTTATGAAACGCGGTACGATTGCGCTTCGTAGGCTCGAGCAGCCTTGAAAACGGTCGACGCTGTCGCGGTACGTGTTCTCGGGGGAACGAGCATGGTGGAGGTTCCCTGGACGACGAACGGACGTCCGTCATCTTACCTGATCGCAACATAGCCACAGTATAATGGAGTTCGGGTGTCTCAGAGGGCCGCCTAATCCGGAACCACCGGCTGTCCTTTGGTCTTTCAGGAGTTCCGAATGCTTGACACCGTGTTGCCCGAACACTTCCAGAGACCTGCAACCCAAAGGACAGGAGTTCGTCAAGATCTACGGTCCACAGTTAGGCGAAACCAGACGATTTTCAAAGGGGGTGCAACTCAAAATGTGTCACGATACTTTTCTTGTCTCTCTGACAAACCATTATAACTGGACTGCGGATGTTTATGCACTTTAATATACGAAGATACGAATTACTATATTTAGGGGTTGAGACATCTTCCCATTTACGAGGATTTATCTAGGGAAGATTTACTTCAAAGAGGCTTGGTTGGCCATGGACAGAATAGAATGCAAACGAAAGTTTTAACTCGCCCATTTGGCGCGCGGTTCCTAAGCCCTGCATTCCGGCTTAAAAATAATTGAAATAGCTCCCTATATAGCTGCTGGAATATTTAATGAAGGCTACAGCTCCATTTTAAGAACGACGAACGAGCTGAATATCATTATTGGTACACAGTGCAAGCTAAAAAAGCTCGAACTGCTCTAAAAGAGGAATTATTTCAAAGTAATCAGTTTTTTGAGGAACCTGAAAGACCATTATATGAACCTAGAATCTCAAATTAATCAGGAAGTCATTGAAATCAATAGTTTTCCCTAAAATACAAATCGAAAGAATTTTAATGGTTCAAAAATGGATACTCGAAGCAATTGTCTCCTTGCATCTGCTTCGACTAAATTTACCTTATGTGGTAAATTTATTTATTAATTTATTTTACCTTGGTTATCCAACCAAACTGTATGTTAACGTGTTTAACGACTCATCGTCTTCACTCGTTTGCTATTTTCTTCGCTAAAGGATACAACACGTCGGAAGTGGTATTTCCTTGTTATTGATTTTGAGAGCAAACAATCCGAAAGTGTTGCAAAGTTGTTTACTTCGATTCAACGTTTCCCCTTTAAAAAACTGTAAAATCGTGTATGGATATAGACTTATCGTTTCGATTGTTAACAACAAAATTATTGTTTCAACTTTTCGTACGATCGAATAGAGAAGATTGCAAAATTGTTTTCAACGGAATTTTGCACTCTTTTCTTTTTGACTTTCTCGTTCCAAGAACCTTCTTTGCATTCTACACGCAGAGAAAGTATTCTCCTCGCAAGAACTGTATTTTAATATCACAGAAGGTATTCTGGGAATTACTATTTCATATTACTACAGAAATTCTTCAAACCGCCGGCAATAACTCAGACGAGCGAAATTATTATACCGCCCTGTGCAAGGTCTCCATGTTATCAGCGCTCGACATTTTTCTTGCAAACGAATGGCACGTTTAAGATGTTGGCACAAGGAAAGTTTCACGATTTTTTACAAGGATAGTTTAAATTAATTTCTAAAGCTTGCAATAAATTTTAAATTTATAACTTCTGTTCTCTCCGCGAGAAATTAATTTCCCTCGTTGTCCGACACAAGACAAATTGGCAAAGCGTTCAAGAAGAATCCGAACAGCTAAATTTCTAACGTTTCGTATCACCGTTCAATTTATATTTATTATTTCAGAAGAAAAAAAAATGATAAATTATAAAAATTAAAACAACACGAGGTACGTAATATAAAAGAATTGTTTACGAAGGAAACGTTGAAATACGTTTCAATTAAAAAGTGAATTGAAAGATAAATTTTCTGAACGAAACATTAACAACGTTTTCCGAGGAGAAGTAGTTTTATTAATGGAAGAAACTCCGCTATAAACTCTGCTCCATGCTGTATTATTTATTTAATGGCTATTAATTTTGCATTACGCGAAACGTATCATAATAAAATGTTGCAGTTTACGCTTAACTAATGTGCATACTTATTGTAGCGTTACGGGAACATGATGCACAATACAAAGCGTACCGTGCAACACGTATTGATATTTATTACCGGTAGTGGTGAAAATATGGGACACCATGCCCCGTAGTTCCGGAGACCAATTCATTTATCTTTTTCTTAATTATTACAGGTAAACCCAATAAATTTCCATACATATGAATACATTTCTGTCCTCATCATTTTCTTTAACTATATCCGTTCTAAGTTTTAATCGCGTCTCGGTCGATGCGAGAACAACCCGTGGATAAAATATATTATCTTCGTCCCTGTATTTAACAAATTCACGAGCCTTATAAACATTTATAAACGTTTCAGGATTTCTGAGAGATTTATGCTCGTTTCGTGGAAACAAATAAATCGAACGAAAGATAACGATTGACCAAATCGTTGATACGCGATACGAGCATGAATAATAAAAAAAAAAAAAAGTGTGAAAGTGGCGAAGATATAACGCAGAGGCTGACTAATTGCAGGCTCTCGAGTTACCATTGGGTCAATATCTGCAAACCGGAAAATTAAATCTTCGTGGAACACAGTACTTACAAACACGGCAATTCGATTGATATTATTACGTGCAACGCGTAATTATTTTCGATACAGACTATTATCTGGTTGTCAGTCACACGATTGGCGCCACCCTACCGTCGATCGTCTATTTTTACAGCGATTAAGATGTAATCGTGGAACCACGCGTCGAACGATTATAATTCTATAGATATATTCGGAGAATTTTGCAATTATAAATAATACGAACGCAATCTTTCGAAAGGAATCGGAACTGGAGTGATTAATAATGCAAAGAGAAACGTACAGTCTTCGAATAAATATCTCTTCCAATAAAAAAATAATAAAAAGCTCTGGTGTACCGAAAACAACGAATATAAATTATAAGAAAATTAGGGGTGGAGTACACGGTGTGGTAAAATCGACAACAACATCAAACGGTCTTTTAAACGTGCAACAGGAATAAATAATATCGTTCTGCAACATTTGGTGTTATAAAAGAGTGTTATATGCACCTTGCAGGTTTTTCTACCCTCGTAATGAAACTCGTGGTCGACAAATTCGGTGAGCTCGATTTCAAAAGTCGTACATTTTCCCTCGCAATCTGTGGCGAACCGTGTCGCGATCATGTGCAGTGTATTATCCAACGTGCCCATTTCTGTCTCACTTTCATGATGAACGGTCGATGAAATCCGATCGGCTGCAAGAATCGGCCCACGATGGAGAAACCGAGACGGGGATTGGAATTTTTTGAAAGTGTCCTCCCGTCTCCGCGAGCATTCGTTGCGAATGATTTGTATCGACGATGAAAGATCGAACGATTGAAAATACTTAAAATCGTGACATTGAAACGCAAGGACCCTGCATTGTGCAATTTTTCGAGCACAGACTTAATTCAATACGGATCTACAATGTTCCCCGGATTACTGAAACCATTTCGGATAACTGAAAGGGTCCCTACTATTTATGTTTTGGCGACACGGTACACCCACAAAATCGAATTTTATCGACCATCGAGAATCGAAAGTTTAAAGAAAGAATTTTAAATCGATTTAAGGTGCTCTGAACGACTGTTGAGTATAGTAAAACGATCCATATTAATTCGTACGATTTCAGTGAACGTTGTGTAATCGTTTCGATCGAATTCTACGCTAGCGTTAATTTGCAAGTCGGTTCCCCGGCAGTTTGACGAATCTTGATTTCAATTTTGCAAAACGATCAACGCCGAACATTTTCGACGTTTCCACGAATCGATTCGAGGAATCGAAAACCGAGCCATGTATTTTCGGAATTTACACAGCGGCTCCGGGCGTCCGTAATCGAAGTTTTTAACGCCTAAACATCCGGTACAGTAACTCGATAATTAATCCAATGCCATCACAAAGCAGCGCCGATTACTGGGTCAAAGACAGCCGATGCGATACCGTATCGCGAACGGCGACACGAATCGAAAGGAATTCTTTTAATCTATACAATATCAATTAATCTACCGCCAAATAATATCGATCTAGAAAGAATTTCGGTCGATCAAACCAATATGAATCGAACCAATATGAATTTTAAAAAATGTGTTACATTAGAATTTTAGTCTCGCGAAATTTACAGAGATTTTCTCGAGCAATGGTCTGATTTACGACAGGCTGTGGCTCCTTCCATCGTTCAAACAATGTTCAATCGAGAGTATATTTCTCTTAATCTTACGAAAATTCACGTATTTTCGATCAGGAAATTTACGAACGAGAAACTTGGTTTTGAAATTTTTTAAAATTTCGCTCGTTATTCTAGAGGGAGTCTCGGTCCAACGTGTTCCCGATCGAAGAAACAAACTTTCCGTGATTTAGAACGCATTATTCGAAACATGACTCGAACCACAATTGCCAACCTTACCACACGCGCTCGCCGGTCGTGCGTGTTTCCAACATCCGAGGACCAAAGCCCGAGTTTAACAGAGTTCAACCAGAGAACAGCCAGATGTCAGAACGTAGAGATACGAAGTTTCATATTAAACTCCCTCTTCGACTAATTAAACCTGACTCTTGTGAAAGAGGAGGCGAAGATACCGATGTTATCTCGCGACACCGCGACCCTTATCGTTAGTTTTGACCCCCGTGCCGACACTATGATCCCACGTTTTTATCGGCTTTCTCTCTTTCCCGCAGCGTCTCTTCTTTTACAAGAAACGCACAGCTCGCGGGTACCAGAGGTTGCACAACGTTACGAGACGGCCGTGCAATCGACAGGAATCGAAAAAACCGCAGGTGGAAATCGCATAATCGCTCGCGCGCGCGCGCGACAGTAAATATAGAAAAATCGTGAGACCTATTCGTGGAACAGAGTTTGGCTATCGCGTATCCTCGGTGCATCTGCTTTGTGCCTGAGATCCGTCACTGCTCCTCGACGTCCAGGCTGGTAAACCCATGCAAATGAAACGCGGCTTTAATGTAAATTTAATGGACACACGCGAGGCGACCATTCCGAACGAAACAAATGTAACGCTCGCGTAACGTTTATGGAAATCGTCTAAAGCCGATGCTCCCGCAGTTTCGATCCACTTTATTTTCGGTATGCGATTTACGCAAACGTACCGTAGCCCTGTCCAGCGAAAGCTGACCAGCGTTTCCATGGCCGTGAATAAATTGTCGAACGAAAATGCGCGATGGCGAAATCTCTAAACGACGCTTAGACGCGTCAAACTTTTC